TTACTGCAGAAAGTTGATATCTCCTGGACATATCCCTTTTCTGCTGTAACCGTAAATTTCATCCGCTTGTAGCCCCGAGCTAAATCATTAAACATGGTCCGTTTTTGCAGTGAAGATGTGTTTAGACCTCTAGAACACGATTATGTACGAATGTTATTGTGGTAAAAAATGGGACATGTCCCCTTTCTGCAGTTAGCAATTCAACTACAGAACGGTTTTACAACAGAAAAAGAATTAAAGTCCGGCACGGTCGTTCCTCCTGGGCGGCGACTTCCTTCAGGCCGAGCTCCTCTTGGCTCTGGGGGCGGCGACCTTGAATCTGGAAATCGCGCGAAGACGGTACGGCGACCCGGGAGGGGAGCGCGGTGACGGTAACGACGCGTGCACGACGGTGTCGACTTTCGAAGGTGACAAAAAAAACGCGGTGACGGTGACACGGTTTTTCGCTCGGGGGCGGTGATTCCAAAACCGGTACTAACACGGGCAGTCGACCCAAAAAGGTACTTACGGTGGTCGGAGGGTCGAACTGCACACTTCTGCCACACTTCTCCAAAAACTAAAAACTCTTCTTCACCCAGAAAACAGCCCCAGCACTTCCGCACTCTTTGGAGTTGCAGGCAAGACTCCTCTTCTTCCGCCGCGGCGGCGCGGCGATCGCGAACTTACCCCCGGCTTTCGCAGTACGCGTCACGGTTTCCGGCCCGCGAAAATTCGCTTCGTTACAGTGTGTATCTTAGTAACTAAGTATAAATTGGTTTAGTACCGTAGATTAGTCTTCTTTTTGCCACAATTTAAATACGCAAGGATATTTTTACTTCTTAAGCGTAAGCCAAGTAAGCAATCAAGTTCATTGGACGACTGGCTACTTTTATGTTTACTCGACGTTTCATGACCCCTATAGAACGAAAAAATAGGTCCCCGTTTCCGTCTGTCTGCCTGTCTGTCGCCTGTACAGATTTTTGTTAGACAGATAATTTCCGAAACTATTAGAGGGATTGTTGGCAAATTTTATATCTGTATTAAGAATATTATGTAGATGGTAAATCACTACCCAAAATTTGGCTAATCATCCTTACCAATGACGTCATTTTCAAAATTTACTTTAATAAATATTATTTAAACATTATAAAATAAGATACATGTGGTTTATGAATCCGTGTAGAATTTTTACCTAAGACATCCAGATTTTTAGAAAAAAAAATCAAAATTGTGCAACAACATCTTACAATTTAACTTTGAAATTGCAAAACCGAATACTCTGAAAACTTGCAAGCGCTTTTAGGTAATAGTAAGAATGGTAAATCGTTAATCGAAATTTATTGGCTATGGCCTCCCCAAAAAATCATATTCCTTCATGTGTGATTTATGAATCGGTGTTGAGTTTTTAACCTTTGTTTTTTGGGGGAAAAAAAAATCAAAATTATTAAACCAATATTTTACAATTTAACTTCGAGATTGCAAAAACCGAATCCTGTGAAATCTTGCAAACATTGTAAGGTTACTACAAACATGGTAAATCGTTAATCAAAATTTATTCGTCATCTTACAGTTTTGGTGAAGAAATGTTCTTCAAATTTATGAATCGGAAAAAAAGCTGAGTGTAGTTAATTAATAGGTCAGTCCTTTTCTTTGTGTTGACTAGACAAAACTAATCAAATTTCATTTTTTTTAAGCTCTATTGCTTGGAATCTGAACATGCTAATAGTCGAATTCTTTCGAAGTATAAACAATTAAGCATAATAATTAAACAGTCGTAGTTATTAAACATGTACTGAGAAATTGAAAATGTGTACATTTTTCCCATTGGTTGTCTGCTTTAAATTATATTTCATATTGTCCACACTTGTACAGACCGCGCCCCCTGGAATTTGGTGCTACGCCACTCGTTCTTACTTTAACAAAAAAAAAGGCAAAATTAAATTTTATAATTTTTAATACTTCAAGAGCGACAGAAGTTCTGTCGAAATAACCTTCGATCAATTTTTTTAAACATGTAAATTTAGTATGTAACACCAGGTACAGAAGGAAATATTTTTGTTATGTACTTAAAAATTCTGTCAAAACATCTATACCAATGATTTAAAATAAATAGTAATCTAGGACCATTGTGAATTATATACTAATTCACAATAAGTAACGTACTATCTGTTAAATAAAATTTTCTATTTTCTACCCACACAAAATGTTACTAGTACATTAAAAACATCTACATTCTAAGTACATAATTTTGGAATTTGATTTATTTTACAATTTTTAAATTCACTTCATTTATAGGTGCAACGTGTGTATAGATGTTTTCGAAATCAAAGGCGGCTTTGAAATTTAAAAAATATCCTGATTACCACTAAGTTAAAAGCTTTTTACAATCAATTTCAATCATTCAGTTGTATGTTGGCTATATATTGGAAGAAAATTAGGTAAAGAAGGCAGCAAAATAATTAACAAAAGAAATTCTAGAGTCATCCTTGACCCTAGAATCGTTTATAGACACATTATAATCTGGTTCGTAGACATTATTGTCAGTTTTTAAGAAGAATTTTAATTTATAATTAATTTAAAAAACTCGATTTGTTTACGTAATGGAAACTTGTTTACACAAAACTCTGTCTAAACAACTTTAGACCAGTTTTTTTTGCTATATTCACTTTTGCGTAACTTCACAGTTGTAAGATATTAAAGTAACAATAAAAAAAAACTTTGGATATACAAATATTGAAAAACAAATTAATTTTTTTCCGCTAAAAAAGCGACTAATATTTGATCCGTTTCAGCAAAGATTACTATACGTTGAATGGTAATAAGAAATACGCTTCAACAATTCTGTTGAAAATGCTATAAAAACTGCAAAAGTAAACAAAGTAGCAACTTGAGATTTCTGTTCCTCAACATATTGCCGTCGGATCAATCTTTATTTATACTCCACAAATTACACTTATTGTGTATGCAAAACAGTTGTTAAAGTCTGTTGAATAGCATGATATACTTACGGGTTATACAGATTACGTACTTTACCTGTCTCTTTATTGAAACAGTGTTAGATGATTTCTTTTAATATCTGTGAGATATAGAGATGTCTCGCCAGTGCCACTTAAATAATGTGTGTTACAATACAGGGGAAATAAATTTGAAAACTTCATAGATAAGCACATACTGCGAAATGATTTAGCACTGTTTTCTTATCGAATAACATATGTGCAAGAATTATATGAAGCGTATTTTCCAGCTAGGTTTGACTATTGTCACCGAAAATCCACATGTTCATATTGAGATTCGCCTTCATCGTCAAAAAATTGGCAATTAACGAACGACGAATAGGGGGGCCTATATACTTTTAGAGTAATCATGGAAATAACTATGTGATTAACTGGCGTTTTCAATGCAATCCTTTTCAAAGTAACCTAACCGCTGTTAGATATCAGCAAGAAATTTTAGCAGATTTTAAACCACAGTTTCACGACGATGGACTTTTTTTGGAAATTTTTGACAACCTGATAATTGTTCGAAATCTGGTCCTGAGATTTTGTGGTCTTTCTCCTGCACACATTTTTGTGGTCCTATTTAAAAAACTATTTATCGAACAACTGTGAGCTATTTGGATGAATTAAGGTTTAGAATAATAGAAGAAATTACCGACATAAGGAATAACGCAGACATGTCGAGGCATGTGATCGATGGAGTTAAACGAAGAGCTCGTTTATATTTACCACAAAACACTTTAATGTAATTCAAGTTACTTAACAAAATTAATTAATCTTGTACCAATTTTTCTTCTAACTTTACACTTATTTTATTAAAAATCTGATTAAAAAGACTGTGCAATGTTTACTTTTGCATTTGTCTATTTTTCACATTTATCAATGTGATTTATGATTAAACCGCCCCAATGTGATCCGAGACGCTAAATCCTGTCCAGGGTGACTTGATTACAAATTATGTTGCTCCCCTGATATATTATATTTCACAAAATAGATTTAAAGTTAAAAAGTGTATTTAAAAAAAATAGTTTAAGAAAAACTAAAATAGTTTGACAAGAAAAGAAAGAAATTAAGACAGCGTATCACTGTTTAAACGTCTTTTAAGAACAGTGATCAGAGGCATAGGCCGTTCAATAGTTGTTGTTCAAGAGTATGAAATATTCATAAAAAAATAATTTAAAGAACTAGACTTTGAAAACAAATTACTAGTTTTAAGGAAAACGTAGAGTTACTTTGTCTTAGTGTTATAATTTTCATAATCTGCAACAAAATAGGTATCATAGCGTCTAAAAGGATTCAAACATCAGATTCAATTGTGATATAATAATTTCCCAATTAGTTTGAGCAACAACAACGTTTCCTAACAACACGAAATTCACATCTAAAACTTGGGTCCTCTTTCTGATTTTTGTGTTAACTTTTGCTGCTGGATATCAAAAATTTAGGATTACCTGCTACTTCTCGACTTCCTCCAGTAAAAAAGAGTCAGCTTTCGGCAATATTAAAAGTTTGAAGAAAGCCTCCTTCAGACGTGATTTATATTTAGTTGCTTAATCAGAACCGGTCGCTACATACTTGCGAAATGTTAAAGTGACGACATTGATGTAATCGGGAATTTTATTCTGTTTTCAATTCAGTTATTTCTCTGATTCAGTTTTCACTTCAATTATTTCTCTAAATGAAATTGCAATATAGGAGTAATGTTTTATTTTTGTCTATTCCAAAAGAGCTGACTTATAATAAAACTGTTCTAAAATTGAATACTTATAATTCTTTTCTGTTTCGTACAATATTATTTCTTTCGAACAAGAAAGCATTTTTCCTCACTTTTAAAGTATCTATAATAATACCCTCTCTATTATTGCCTTAACGTTGAAAAATCAATTAATGGTCTGATTTTTTTTTTGCCTATTTTATGGATCATGAAAATTCGAGCGAAGTAACCTTACTAAGTATTAGTTACTACCATGCTTCACTTCGTAACGCAACACCAGAGGCGCAACCAAATTAACAAATTGGGCTTACTTGTTGTACAGGATAAGATCCGGTCTCCAGACTCGGGTATAAGGGATTCGGATAACTTTAATTCCGGCGAATTCGGACGAGTTCCACCGTAAATGGTGATCTATCCAAGCCTGAGTTATCCAACAATTTGTCGTCAGGATCTGATTTTTTTCGTCCTGTAAAATCGAATTGAAAAAGGTAGTGTTTGAAAGAAAGTTTGAAGTACGCTTGTAAATTGCCTCTAAACTATTAAACAATGTTATTTTTTAGGACTAGTAAACTTACCACGTCGATGATGTGATGAAGAGAAATCCCAAAAATCACAGTCAAAGGTAGAGAGGAGTTCTCAACCGGCCTGACGGCTGCATCGTAGTTTGCCATTAAGTGTCTCATTAAACGAGCTTCATTCTCGTCCGCTTGGCAACCTGCAATAGGTCAGTTATTGTTGAAAGTTCCGAGAAAATATAGGGAGAACACAAAAGAACTGCAGCAATCAGTGAAGATTAATGTTCACTCAAAGATTCTTTTGTCAAAAATATATGCATAGTTGCATTTTTTAAATAAAGTATTGAAACATAGATCTGAGATGAATTCTTAAAATGCACGATTCACCCTGGTGTAAATACTTTTCTAATGAATAATAAATAGAAAATTGTACGATTATCGCAAAAATTTCGATGAAGGAAATTCGTAGTGTGCATTTGTATTATTCGTTTTATAGTACCTACAATACGAACATTTCTGCAGGATTTAGATTGTGGAATTTTAGGTATACGATCAAGTTAGTGAAGTCTCAGTTAGGAAAACTTTTTTGTCTGCAAACAAGAAATTGCTTTTATCGTAGGAGAAAGAACAGAACATAAACTTAAGTAGATAATTACACCATAATTTTTTTGTCTAAAATACGTTACAATATACCTACATCATACAGAAAATATAAATTTAATTTATACTAACTGATAAAATGGTGATCGTAAAGGATGTAATAATAATAAATTGAAAAGAAGTATACAATTTTACTACTTTCAACAAGTTTAAAATAACTAGCCGAAGATTATTCCGACAGAATATACATCTATTTGCGTGACATTCAGTAGAATATCGAGATAGTATAAAAATTATCAAAATGTTATTTTAAAATAAAATATCCCATACTTTTTTCGAATACTAAAAATAATTATTACTTTCCACATTTTAACTCAACTGAAATTTTGAACATTATTTTACTTACATTAATGGTTATTATTATTATTATTACCACATATGACATTAGCACAATACCGCTAAAATTTCAAGTGCAGTTTATATCGGTTCAGTTTTCTAATTTACATCCATCTTACCAAACGAATTTACATTATCTGAAATGCTGTTATTTTGTACATTTTCCGAGGCACAGTTCCACTCTGCTCTTTTAATATGACATTAAATTAATATGTCATTAAAAAAGAATGATAACTATATGACTATAGAAAGGTGATTAAAAATTATAAATCTAAATTTTCAGAGTGAATTATTTTTCATGATAACAAACAAGCAACTTGTGTTAATTTATTTCGTTGGCAAAAGTTCAAATCAAATTAACTTTTCCTTTTTAATTGTTTTAATAAAAAATTAAATTGGAACGAATAAAGACGTTACTTGAATGAAAACGTAACACTTGTTACTATGCAAATTCTGACCATTCCGTTTGGTTCTTGTGGGATCTAACATTTATTTTTTTTTTAAAGATAAAAGTTGTCTATGTTAGGAAAGCACTAATTGGACTTTTTTGCTTTTTAATAATTTATATTAAATAAATATGAATTTTATAATTGGGTTTTTTGTAAAAAGAGGAACTAATAAGTAATAACTCATTTTGCAGGTGATGGATACTCTTAGGATAATAATTGCTAAATTATTATTTCAAAATAAATAAATCGTAATACCGACCGTTTATTGTCGAATGAAAATGTAACATGTGTAATTTTAACGACTAATTAAATTCTGTATCAAGTACATCGGACACTGTTAAATAGTCTTGTAATTTATAACCACAACGCAGTTTAAAATGTGTTAAGCTAATTATTTATTTATATTCATTTTTTACCAAATTTGATATTTCAGTTTACATATCTAAAAGATGCATGGCAACCAGCGCCAAGGAAATATTTTCGAGTGAACGCTCCCTTGAAGTTTTTTTGTTAAATATCATGTTTACCTTGTTATCTTCGAAGATGTTTATTTTCACAAATAGACAACTGTTGAAACAACACCTATTATAAGTGTAATAATATTTGATTTCAACTATCTACCAGAATTTAGTCTTGAACAAACAGTTTCTGAACGGACGATGCCTGGGAACACAAATCCCATTTACTGTCTGCGTGTTAAACTTACGTGGCGTAATCATATTAAGCTTTCATGATTGTGCCAAAGTTATTTTTTAGTTGTTATTTGTTATTTAATTATTAGTTTTTACCCTTCAAGTCGAGGGGGCTGGAACGGATAAAAACTTGTTCAAGAAATATTTTTAGAGCCCGTCAATTAACGATTGTTAGTGGAGGCGAACCGTAGCTGGTGAAATTAACTTTTTTGTACCTTATATTGCTAGATAGACAATTCTCTCCAAAGACTTGCATCGTGGCAGTATTATATTTTTTGTGCGCCCACCACCATAATCAACAAAAATGGGAGGTGGAAAATCTACTAGAGTTATAAAAAACTATCTATTAGCATTGTGAACTGGGAAATAAACGTTCTATAAACCTGAAAATGTTTTATCGTCACTGTCAAGGTTGTGAGTCAACATTAATTTTTAATGACAACATAACATCAATTATAAGGTCTGAATAAAATCACTCCTCAATCAGGAATTAAAATCAATACGAAGCCGTCATCTGAACCGTAAATTGTAAGCAGTTAAAGCTCAAGTTAAATCAGATTTACTTTATGTCGATACAACACTAATAAAACTATATAACATTTTCACAACATTTTAAATAAACAACAAACGTAATGCATTTGTATTTTTACCTTAATGGTTATAAAAATAGCGCCACGAGTTTCAGTCATACATTCTATTACAAGTACAAAATTTAAATTCCATTAGCGCCTCCAGGCAATTATTGTTAATTATTTATTTTCGATGAAATTAATATTGTTTGAAAATATTGTTTTGAAATGTCGTTCGGTAATAATATCCGAAATTGTATAGGCTGTTGACATGACCTCAAATTTTTTTATAAGTGATGTAAACATTAACAAACATCTAGATCTAGCTTTCACACAAATTTGAAAATATTATTTGTTAATTTTTGTGAAAAACGTAAAGTTGGCAACTTCCAGTTTTTTATTTATAGAGGCATAAAATATTTTCTTCATAGAGATTCTAATTAGTTTGTTGGTATTTAATAATAATAAGCCGTTAGCTTCGCACCATAGTAAGAATCTAGAAAGATCATCTTTTAATAATACACAGTCATGCACTGCAGGAATACCATAAAAGAGTTTAAGGTCACCTGCAATTTAAAAAAGCTGTATTTATATCGTTACTCATTAACAAAAAGTGAAAAAAGTAAAGGTCCTATGTGAGGCCCATGCCAATTTTTACTCTTTGTAAACGACCGGTCATGTAAAAGTTTATCCAATCTAATATAGGATTGGCAATACCCAACCTCTTTAACTTGGTTACAAATTACAATTTCCACTTTTTGACAAATATTTTCGTTCGTGAATTAGATACACCCAAAAAAAGTTTCACAACGGATCGCGTATAATAGAGTAATTACATATAGAAAAGCAAACAATATTTTTCAACCGACTAGAATCAACATTTTTGTGTAATTTCATTGTGTGACGGTTGCATTAAACAATCCTGTCTCAGTTCGGCGATCGTGTCTTTGGATTAGCCATGTAAAATCGAAATGTTAAAGTGAATTTTCGATTCCACTCAGAAATCACTAAACAACTCAACTTGAATTATTTTATTCAGTGTGATGATTTGTAGGAAAAATTAAACTTAATAAATGCACAAATTAATCCATGCATTGGTGCTGGGTGTGAGCGATCTCCGACTACACCTAGGCCGTATCCAAAAAGCGCGAGATGAAGACCTTCGAGCAGCTCGTCTTCCTCAACACCGCTATCGACAGCATTTTGACATGTGCTGGGGGCCCGTCATCCTAGGCAGCTACTCGCGCTGCCTCACTCAGTAACCACTGAACGACTAAAGTTGAATAATCTTATTCAATGTGACGATTATTGTAGGACAGTTTAAACGGAATAAATGCACAAATTGCACAAAACATTTTATCTTGCTGGTGCCGGTCGAGTTTTCATTACTAAAATCTCATTAAAATGTTCTACTGCGATTAGATGAAAAAGCGAGGGCCCGCTTTTTCTTATCGTGTGATGATAAGATTTACCATCAAAACAATAGCTGGCACTTTTGAAGAAAACCTTTTAATAAACCGTTTAGATAACTAAAAATAACAAAACTTAACAACAATTGTTGATGAATGAGCGACAAATCGGGCCGAGCGTGAATTTCAAAATACGATTTTTAAAGCCTTTTTACAGTGAATGAGCGCGATGCAACGATTTGAAAAAATACTGGCCCATAGCCCTCCATTACCTCCACAAATGCATCACTCAATAATAGCTCTAAAGAAAAAGATCGGGGGAGACATTATAAAATAAAAAAAAACTCCTATGTTAATTACTTATGTCCAGATTTGGATGCGGCACACCGTATATGTATATGCATCTTACAAAATTGTTATGAAAGTTATTATTTACTGATTAAAAAACTATTGAAGGACAAGCAGGTCCTTGTTTTTTCATCTAATCGGAGTAGAACATACCACTTTAATGAGATTTTAGTAATAAAAACTCACTAAAATCCATCGGCACTAACAACATAACTTTATAAAATATTTTAAGCAATTTGTGCATTTATTTCGTTTAATTTGTCCTGCAGCAATAATTATCACACTGGATAAAATAATTCAATTTGAGTTGTCCAGTGATTTCTGAGTGAGATAGTGCGAGTAAATCCCTAGCCCGACGGGCCCCCACGACATGTCCATGATGCTGCCGATGGAGGTGTTAAGGAAGACGAGCTGCTCGAAGGGCTTCATCTGGACATCTTGGATACGGCTTGGATGTAGTCAGAGATGCCTCGCGTACTACGACCAGGATTTCGTGGAGGGATTCATATGCTGTTGTTCGTTTATTGTTTAATTTGTCCAACAATAATTCATGACATCATTTCTAAATTCACCTTGATATTTTAATTTCCCATAGCTAATCTAAGAACGCGATCGCCGAGCTGAGACAGAACCTTTCGCCACAAATCGGACCGAGTACAAATTTTAAAATACGATTTTTAAAACCTTTTTGCAGTGAATAGGCGCGATGCAACAATTTGAAAAAAATACTTCACCTC